TTATGAGTGGAAATCATAAAATACCACTTTAATATCACGAGCAATTAAGGTGGGGGGGGGGGGGGGGGGGGGGGGGCAAGGGAGGAGAAATGTATGAAAAGTGGAAGGCAAGGTAATGGGGCTAAAATAAAAGAAATATGATCTTGAGATAGTACACAATTGTCTGACGAACAAGAAAAAAAGGCTTCCCAATAAACAGAACACTAAAAAGTAACCTCTTTTGAGAGTGTATTTTAAGTGATTTTAAAGTATAGTGCCTTTTGAACTAGATTTAAACGTTATCGGCACGTGCCTCCATTTAAACAAAAAAGGTACTCCTGTTCACGTTTTCATCTAACCTAAAAACCACCAGTTTATCACGCGACTGGAGTAACGTGATTCCACTTACCTCTGTAAATCAAGTGTTTATGACCAAATAACCACTTGACCAAGCAACGAGTTTTTTGTCAGTTAACCGATGGTGGCGATAAATACGTAATTATTTGGTCTTGGAAGCACCTTTATTGATTGGTTTCACAGGTTATCCAAAGTTGATGGTAATAATCACGTTACTTACACCGGCTAATCGTCTTATTGTTCTGTCCGTGAATCTCTGGTTATATTCAACTAGTAATTCTGAGGTGTCTTACACACCTCTTTAAAAGGTTTCAAAGTTACCATAAATGTTTTGGTTATGATCACGTGGCTCAAGCTGATTACTAATCTAAGCTGTGAAAACGTGATATGTAGGTGTGAAAATTAGTAATTATTATGTGTTTTAAAACACCTTTTTAAATGGTAGTCAAAGTTGCCAGCAGTTCCGCGGTGATGATCTCGTGACTCAAACGGAATATTAATCTAAGCAGGGCATACGTGACTTTTAGGTGTGAAAAATTAGTCATTATTAGGTGTATTAAAACACCTATTTAAATGGTTTCAAAGTTACCATAACTTTCTTGGTGATGATCACGTAGTTAAAACTGATTACTAATCTAAGCTGTGAATCCGTGAAATTTAGGTGTGCAAAAATTAGTAATTATTAGGTGTCTTAAAACACCTATTTAAATGGTAGTCAAAGTTGCCAGCAGTTCCGCGGTGATGATCTCGTGACTCAAACGGAATATTAATCTAAGCAGGGCATACGTGACTTTTAGGTGTGAAAAATTAGTCATTATTAGGTGTCTTAAAACACCTATTTAAATGGAAGTCAAAGTTGCCATAAGTTCCGCGGTGATGATCTCGTGACTCAAACGGATTATTAATCAAAGCTGGGCATACGTGACTTTTATGTGTGAAAAATCAGTCATGATTAGGTGTCTTAAAACACCTATTTAAATGGTAGTCAAAGTTGCCAGCAGTTCCGCGGTGATGATCGCGTGACTCAAACGGATTATTAATATAAGCTGGGTATTCCGTGTTTTCCATGTGTGAAAATGAGTTATTCTTGGGTGTCTTGATGGTTTCACAGTTACCATTTAAGTTCCGTGGTGATAATCCCGTGACTGTTGGCATATTTCTATGTTCACCAGTTGATAACTGACTGTTGGCATATTTTCATTGCACCAGTTGATAACTGGAGTGTGCATATTTCCAGTTGCACCAGTTGATGACTGAGCGTTGGCATATTTCGAGTTGACCCAGCTGACACCAATTCATTTGCATATTGAATATGGGGTGCGTGCAGATCTATGTTTTTAAACAATTTATCTGAATTTACAGCGTATTTCTTAATTACTGATGATTTAGTTATTTACAATTCATTTCGAAAATACTACAAATATAAATTACCAGTTATTAGGACATTTCGCTACTTCGTATAAATTACATTTAGTTAAACATGAATAAGGGAAACATTAACTGTGAACTAAAATAATTTCAATAAAGTACAAGTAGACGAAATTGTTTCGTTTATTTTAATAATGTAAGTCTACTTATTACCAATGCCCTTACATTGGAAATACAGACGTACCAGTATTGAAGTATTGTTGCTGTTCAACTGGTTGGAAGTTCTACCAAATGGTTCTAATGGCTCAGCTAGACCAGTTGAATTATAACTGGCCTGGATCAACTGGATCATTTAGCCCATTTCAATTTCCAGGGTTACCAGTTGGCATTAAATGGTTCATCAACGGGACCAGTTGCAACTAGCTTTCTTTTCTGGGATGTTAGCACCCACCCCCCCCCCCCCCCCATCAACCCCCTCTAATCCCAAACTGCTTCCGGCGCGCCTGGACGTAATTATGGATGATCCATGACACGATGTTCAGAAACGGGATGAGAACGTCATTATTTTGGTTCATTTATTGTGTAACATTTGCGTAATTATTGGGTTGAACGCGGGTTACAGTAACATCCTTCCTCTTCGACGTAAATTTCACGTGAATGAAGAACATGATTCATCTCAAGTCAGCCTCGTAATATTCACGTGAATTTCACGCAAATATTTTGACTAAAACTATCACTAACGCTTCACGTGTTTCTGTGACGCGATAATTTCGTGTATGAAGATGTAATTTCACAACCAAACAAACACGGGAGTATTAGGTTTACAAACCATGGTCTCCAAGGTAGGGATAATCACGTTATCATAATGGTGATATTGCAGTGACAATTGCGTGATTTAGTGTACGTGTGTTTTAAGTTACCTAATGCAATAAACGTATTAACACATTTACGTAAATGTCCGGTGTTTGAAGAACGTAACTCTCCTCAAGTCGATACCTTGATATTGACGTGATTTTCACGTGATTTTGTTTATTGGGTTATACTAAACACTCGGGTCCCCACGCGCTGGAAAACACTCGGGCCAACTTTTTTTGTAAAGGTGTCTTCAAATCGGCTTTATTAGGGGGGAAATTTATTGAAGAAGAGATTTGAAATTATCAACAATGGAAGGGTCTATGTATCATTTATTATTTTAATCTTCCTTTAATCCTCTCGTCACATTCCTCACATTTTTTTTCTTCCTTTCACCTCTTCTATCATCCTTTATTTATGTATATCTTTATCTTTGATTCTTCTATCTCCATTTCTTGAATTGATCTGCTATAACTTCTTAAGCATATTTCTGCCCTCTGTCATAGTTTCTCTGTTTTCATTAATTTTTGTCCTTTTATTCTCTCTTCATTTTCCATCATGTAATATTTTTTGTTGGTTTCCCCTTTCATCTTATGTTATCTTATGCCTAAGCGTATTGTAAATTACGTAAAATACAATTGCAAAAAACATCTGTTAGTAATGATATACCAGTTCGCATTATACAGGAATTTGCATGTGAATTGAGTGTACCATTTACAAAGATTCTAAACCAATCTTTTAGACAAGGAAAAGTTCCAACCCAGTGGAAAACTGCAGAAATATGTCCGATTCCAAAATCTCAACCTCCTCATATTAATAATCTTCGCCCAATTGCATTGACTTCATATTTGTCCAAAGTAGCAAAATCCTTTATAGCAAAATGATTATTAGAAGATATTGATAAACATATTGACACTCACCAATTTGGCAATAGACCTGGTCTGTCTACTACACATTATATTGCTGGTCTTTTACATAGTCTATATAAAAATGCAGAAAACAGTAAATCTGTGTCAACTGTTATTTGTACAGATTTTAGTAAAGCTTTTGATCGCATAGATCACAATATTCTTATTAGAAAAATGATTCATATGGATATAAGGCCTTGGATAATAGATTGGATTGCCAGTTTTTTAGAATTTGGTAAACAACATACAAAATATAACGGTGTTTTATCAAATGTTGAAATCAATCATGCTGGTGTTCCCCAAGGTACACGTCTCGGGCCAATTCTCTTTTTAATTATGGTTAACGATTTATGTGAGCAACTTTTTATACCGTATTTTAAATATGTCGACGACCTCTCGTTAATACAATGTCGGAAATCTACAGACGTCTCACAATTACAATCAGTACTTAATTCTGTGCAATGGTCTATTGTGAATAATATGTCACTAAATCCTTCAAAGTGTTTTACCCTCCAAGTTAGTTTCATGAAAAATCCACCAGACCCAGAAATTCTCTTTATTAGCAACACCGAGTTGTGTAATAGGCATAGTGCTAAAATTCTTGTAGTGATCATCCAGTCTGATCTTAAGTGGAATTTGTATATTGATGAGCTAATGAAAAGATGTAATAGAAAAATGTATATGTTGAGGAAACTTAAGAAATTTAATTTACCTTTAAATGATTTAGTATTAATCTACAGAGGTTATATAAGACCAGTATTAGAATATTGCGCCCCAGTGTTTCATAGTGGTCTTACATCTGAACAGAAAAACAGTCTCGAACGAATACAACGGAGGGTTTGCAAAATTATTTTAGGCTCTAATTTTATGTCATATTCACATGCATGTCAAGTATGCAATTTAAGTACACTTGAGGAAAGAAGACTAGTACTGTGTAGAAAATTTGCAAAATCTTTAGCAATTCACCCAGCATGCCAGAACCGGCTACCTTCAAAAAAAGGAATTAGAATATCATTACGTCAGGTTCCTACATATCATAATTTCAAATGCAAAACCAATCGCTTCAAAAACAGCCCTTTACCATATTTGATCAATCTAATTAACCATAATTAAATGCTTTTTTAACTACATGTTAACTTTCAAACACAGTATAGTAGTACTAGTCTTCACCTCAGTCGTCTTTAGTCTTAAAATCCAATGTATTCATTCTAAACGAGAGCATAAAACTTTCTTTTGTCATTCTTAACGTGTAATGTTATTTTGAATGTATTTTTAACAATCATTTTAACTTGTCAATATTTAAAAATGCGATTTATCACTTTATTATGTCAACATGTAAACATGAATAATCCAGCTTCTGCTGCTTTTCATGGAAAATGACAATTTATTATGCATGTATTTTGAAATTACATAATAAACCATTATTGAATTGAAGGAAAAAAATGTCATTTAAAAAAAAAAATTCTTCTACATCTTTAATTCTTTCTCTCCCTTCATTCCTTTTTCTTCTATCATCATCATCATCATCATCATCGTTTAGAGTCCATTTGTCCCACTTTGTGGGGTTGGACATTTCATTTCCTTAATGGCCGCCTTCCAAGCTTTCCTGTCTGTGGGACCCACACGACTGACACCCGATGTTTTGGCATCCTCTTCGATGGCTTCCCTCCAAGTTTTCCTGGGTCTCCCGCGAGGTCTTCTTCCGGTGACCGGAAAGTTTAGAGCCCTCTGGAGCCAGTGTGTTGCCTCTCTTCTTGCCACATGTCCAAACCATCTAAGTCTATTCATCCTCATAACCTGTGCCACCCCCATCAATCTCATTGATTGAAGGAGGACTTTGTTCTTCTTTCTCTCGTGAAGTGATACCCTGCGCATCCACCTCACCATCCTCATCTCAGCTTTCTCCATTCGCTGTACACTAGATGATTTCATTGCCCATGTTTCGCTCCCGTACGTCATGCATTTTCTAACACATGCAGGTATCATACACTTTCCCTTTCACTCTTAACGGGGTCGCCCTTGAAGTGAGGAAAGGAGAGAGTTCACGAAACTTTTTCCAAGCACTTTGGATTCTTGCAGTCACAGCTGCTGACTCTCCTCCTCTGACAGCCAACATGTCTCCCAGGTAGCAGAACTTATCCACCTTATGAGTTATCATACGTCGTTCCGTGGAGATCCAGACCTGTCACATTGTCACTGGTACACTTCTGTGAGATTGTACCTAAGCACCTCTTACAGATGAATGTCTTACTTGCTGCTTGCAGGCTACCACATATTCCACTGCATCTGCGATGGACCCAGCTCCTGCATTTGGTGCATCTGATTGAGTTTGCTCCAACACCTGTATAGCAAACTCCACAGGGGTACTTTCCTGTTTTCTCTGTCTCACCTGCATCAGCAGAAGACACCATGACCTTGGACTTTCCAGCATTCACTTTCAGACCTTTTCCATCTAGGGCTGCTTGCCATGAAGACATTCTAGCTATCAGTTCTTGATCACTCTTAGCCATCAGCACCAAATCATCTGCGTAGAGCCTTCTATATAGGCCTATAATGTCATTCTTTATTTTCTGCAATTCATCTTCCCCATCTTTAGGCCTTAAAAAAAAGATGTTGTATTGCCCCTTAGGTGCCAAAATTTGGGTCGGTCTGTGGGAAATCTTTTTTTTTTTTTTTTCTATTTTTTTTTCTTCCTCTTTGGGCTGGTATTTCTCAGTTTTTAAATGCTTTTATTTTTATTACATATTTTTGTATTCATTAAACTTTTTTTTTTCTTCTAAAAACAAAAGTAAAAACAAAAAAATTAAACAAAAAATTATAAGCCGACCGTGGGTTGGTCGCAAAGGGCAATACAACATTTTTTTTTTTTTTTTTTACGCCTTATGTTAATTTAAATTTCCGACTCCATCAATAACGAAAAATCTTATATGAAGAAAATACATGTAATAGAGAATTCAGATCAGAGAAACGTGGAGATGAAATGAAAATGTAAAAGAGTGATATAACAAAATATACAGACATTTTAAAAAGCTGAATATAAAATCATAAATCTTTATTATAACCTATAAATAAAATAGATAAAAATGTTACACACCGTTGTCCATAGTCGATACATAGTCTTTCATTAGGATACCATCTTACCTTTGGGGCCTATGTATGTGCATTATTATTGCCTCTAATTTCTTCCAAATTATATTTTCAATATCAAATTCAATTAGATAACGAGCATATACGAAACCCTAGAATATAAACTGGCTGAGAAAAGGTCTTTTGCCTAAAATTCCTCGTTACAGTAAACCAAAAAGTACGTATTGAAAAATTATCACATTACGGTATCCTTCAACTCACTTTTGATTCGACTGTCGAAAAAACACTCACTAAAAATATGTAAATCGTTTGATAATCTACATTTGATAATGACACTATTTTTTATTTATTTTAGGAGAATGTAGACCATATGTATAAATTTATTTTTGTACAATTTTAGCCCAAAAACTTGTTTTGGATTATTCAGGATAAATCTAATGGATCGTGACAAAGACTATGTTCTTTAGCTGATAGTATCGCGATATATCGATACCATGTCTGATTGTCTGTCATGTTTTTGTGAAACGGTTTATCCACTTAAAAGAGTCAATAAAATCTACGTAGGTCACCGACAAAGATATGAATCTGGAGTTGGTTTCATGAAACGGGCCCCTACTCGCCAGGATGATGAACAGTATCAATATTCAGTCTCAATACCCCATCACTAAAATTGACAAAACGTTCGCGTTCGTAGGGTACCATAAACTTTACCAATGAAGCTAAATCTAACCCTAACTTTAACCCTAACCAGGCGCGAACGCAGGGGGGGGGGGTCGAACCCCCCTCAAATTTGTGTTTGAGTGTGTATTTTGGAGGACCCCCCCCCCCCCTCAGTTATTTGTTTTTGTTTTAATTTAAAAAAAAAATTATAATGGGTGACCTAATGAAGGTGATATTATACCCCCCCCCCTCCCAACGGACGAAATGTCGATCGGTCAAATTTTCAAATTTCGGGACAAAAAAAAAAGTGCTCTTACCCACCCCCCCCCCCTATTATTACGTATATATCTCGTCAGTTAATATTTTAATTAGAATGAATTTGTGAAACAAAAAGCTTTGTACATTTTTTTGTTGTTATTGTGGAAATAAATGAAATGAAATGAAAAATGTCGGTCAAGCCTCGAGCAAATATCTGGGACGTCAAGAGCAGCATTTGTTAAGGAAAAATTATTTCAAAGCAATGTTTATATACATATACATTTATTTTAAAGTTGACCATAATAGAAGTTTTTTCATACATTTGACTTATACGGTTGCACTTGCACATTGTGAGAGAGGGGAGGGATTGGGGATTCCTAAAAAAAACTGTCGGTAATCTTTCTTTCTTGAGTGTGTGTGTAGTCCTGAAAAAGACTGTTGGCAATCTTTCTTGAGCTTATACAGTGTGAGTCAAAAAAAGTTTACACCTAGAAAATTGTTAATTATGTTATAAATCATCTATGAACAGTAAATTATTATACACCCTATGAAAAAGTGTTTTATCCCGAATCATTTAGTATCATGTTTGTGTGGTATGTGTTCACGCTTGGATGAACAGGAGGCATTGTTTGCGAGAGTGCAAAAATCGACTTGCGCCAAAGTTGCTTATGTGATGTTTGAATAAAACAATTGGGTTTGGGTATTAATTCGGTCATTGCAGCTCCAAATAACATCCCTAACAAAATTAATAATGTCACACATATCAAATATCGAATATCAAATATCAACGAACATTTTGTGCGCGAGCGCGCGTGTGTGAGACTTTGCTTCTGCAAAAAGCATATGCAATGCATCTCATTTGATACATTCAATTCATTCTCTCACTTTAATCCCAACATATTACATACTGTAGGCATCACTATGGCGCAAGTCGATTTTTGCACTCTCGCGAACAATGCCTCCTGTTCATCCAAGCGTGAAAGCATACCACACAAAAATGATACCATATGATTTGGGATAAAACGCTCTTTCAAAAGATGTATAATAATTCACTGTTCATACATGATTTTTAAAATAATTAGCAATTTTCTAGGTGTAAACTTTTTTTTTTTACTCACACGGTAGTTCCAAAGAGAACTACAGCGCCGGTTGGAGAGGATGGGTAGTAGGAGTGGCTCGAAGATTCTAACAGGTTGACTATCCGTCGTCAGGAGAGATTAGTAGTTTTATTTGTTATCAAATTAATATTTATAGAATGTGTGTATGTGTATATACATTATGATATAGTGCATAACGTGTATTACTGATTTGATAAGAAAAGGTAAAACATTGTACATCGTACGGTTCATATTATCTGAACTTTATCATAGATGGTATTTTGAAAGGGGAAAGAAAGAGGACGAGCTCCTACATAATTATGGATGTCAAAAGGAGTGAACCAGAGAGGAGAAGAGGTACAGACTGGGGGGGGGGGGGGGTGTACTCAGATTTGGTTTGGACGGGGGTGTGCCGCTCAAGCCTCGAAACCCCTTACCAAATTCTCCCTCGCTCTCTTTCTGTTTTGTGTGTGTACTATCGCCATTCAATTGGTGACATGCATGTAACCCCCTCCCCCCGGCATCCTTCGTCTTCATCATTGTTACAATAAAATAAAATCAACTGAGATCAATATACAGAAACAGAGAGTGACAATGAGAGACACAGAGAGGGATAGAGAGGAAGAGAGCGAATGTGAATGTGAGAGTGTTGAGGTGTTCTGAGTGAGAGAGGGACACAGAGAGAAAACGGAGATAGAGAGAGAAAGAGAGAGAGAGAGGGGGGGGGGGAGTGGCGAGCAAATGCACTGAATGGCCTCTATCTTTTCCTCCCATTCTCTCTCTCTCTCTCTCCCCAATTCTCCCTCGCTCTCTTTCTGTTTTGTGTGTGTACTATCGCCATTCAATTGGTGACATGCATGTAACCCCCTCCCCCCGGCATCCTTCGTCTTCATCATTGTTACATTAAAATACATCATGATTTGATTTTGTTCAAGATCTAGTCGATGATAGTGCTTACATACATAATTATGAAAATATTATTGGAATATAAACGAAGATGATCTCTCCAGGAATGTGAGAAAAAAAAGATCTGGTCGTGTATACCGTGCTCATTCATATACTTTATGATTGGCTATATAGAGTTCGAGAACAAAAGTGGTATTACAAAGCAAAGGCAAGAGCATAACAATATCATCAGTTTGTGTAATTACCTGTATTCTGACAAATGTAAACGAGGACAATATCCAGCTTAAATATTTGCCCTGTTATTTGGTCCCAAGTGGAACAGGAAGCATGTTATTTGAAGTACGTGAGACGAAAACTAGGTTTGCTAGTTATTTCTGTCTTCCCTTTGCAAAGTTCACCTGTTAACTTGTATGAATAATTTAAGTACCTCGAATCAAAGGGAAGAGAGAAATGGAGTATAAGGCCAAATAATTTGATTTCTAGTTTCTTGCTCGATTTTTTTCGAAAAAATGAGAGGAGGGGGTCTTATATTATTTGATATTTGATTGCTTGATAAATCATTGGTTGATGTTCATTCATTTTCAATATACATCATCACAAATTTATGATTTGTTAACATCATAATTATGGACTAATTAAATCCCACATAGAGAAAAAAGGGTCGTCATAAGCTGAGCTTGAGCTGACGTCCTTGTCATAAGAAAAACATGTTCATATAATATATATAAATAATATATTAACAATGATAATGGAATAGCGGTTGCCAAACATAAAAATGAGAGAGAGAGAGAGAGAGAGAGAGAATGTAAGAAAGGGAAAGGGAAAGGGAGAGGGAAGTATTGCATTCAGATAGTATCAAGTGGAACATTTTAAAGTCTGGGGTACCGAACACGTTAAAATTCATGACAACTGAGATTTGCATATTGTAAGGTAAAATGATACTGTCTGTCTGGATACGAAGGTATCGACTTCTACACCAGTGTCAGCAGAGTACGCTTCGAGGAGCTGTGTTTAGATCTCTTCAGAAAGTGTCAAAGATGTCAAAGCTCATTGAGAGGAACACAACAATCCCTACAAAGGCAACCAAAAACTTCGTTACTGTTGCTGACAACCAGTCTGCCATTACCTTAGTGTTCGAAGGAGAAAGAGCTATGACTAAAGAAAATAATCTACTTGGCCAGTTTGAGTTTTCCGGTATCCCTCCTGCACTTCGGGGCGTCCCTAAGATCAAAGTCACTTTCGACATCGACGCCAACGGCATCATGGACGTCACTGCCGAGGACAAGAGCACGGGTCGTAGCAAAAAGATCACCATCACCAACGACAGCGGAAGGATATCTAAAGATGAAATCGAGCGTATGATCAACGATGCCGCGAGATTCAAGGCCGAAGATGATGCTCACCGGGAACCCCGGGAACGCATCGCAGCCAGCAACCAACTCGAGTGCTATGCCTACAAAGTCAAGTCCGCAATCAGAGACGCATCAGTAGGGAGCAAGCTTACCTCCAACCAGGCGCGTATGCAGGGGGGTGTTTGGGGGGTTAAACCCCCCCCCCTTTGGTATTTTTATGTGTGTAAACCCCCCTAAAAAATCCCTAAAACCCCCCCCCTCCCCCCCCCTTTGGATTTTTTTTTTTTTTTTTTTAATTATTAAAAAAAAAAAAAAAAAAAAAAAAAAAAATTACCCCCATGGCTGACCTAAGAAAGGCGACCTTACCCCCCCCCCAACGGAGCAAAATGTCAAATTTTCAAATTTTGAGACCAAAAAAAAAAAAAAAAGTATCCTCTTGAAAATGTCTTCAAGTTGGAAAATAACGATTATTAGTTGTCAAATTGACTTAGGAGCTATAGAGCCAATAAGTAATAGTCTTGATTTTCAGACCATTGTACAGAATGGTCATACGTTTTATGCTGCGCAAAGATTCCCTCAGTTTAATTTTGGCCATCACAAGAAGTGGGTTATTGATGTAGGCAAATGCTCATGTACCCTTTCCAGCTCATTTTATGTATGTTATTACCAAAGAAGAAAAAAGTCAGTCAGTCACTCAATAGTGTCTGACAGTGAAGTCTAGCAAGTAAACGGGTTTCCTTGCATAATTTGAATATTAGGACACTGCTAACGTTAAAATTTCATAGATAGGACATACATGACATATTCATAATTCCTGCAAAGTTCTAGAGAATTTGAGGTTGGCTGCAAAAGGGACATAGTTACCTTTAACTTACCTTTAACAAATCAGATTCCAAAAATATATTTTATATATATTATAATTTAACATCAACTGTTTGTACTGGCGACCTTTTTGTTACAATACTTTAAAAAAAAAAAGTTTCAGATGACTAGTCATTTTAGTACTTTTTAAAAACCTTTAATGTATTTGTATAGCGACCCATTGAAAGAGTACATGTACCTTTCATCAAGGTAGTCTAGAAATGTTGGAGTAATTAACTAAAAAATGACATTTCCCTCCAATATATTGCTTAAATTGCATAGTACCCTTATCCTTCAATATTTGAATTATGGGATATTAGCATGGGGCAACTCCTCCATAAATCAACTGGATAAATTATTGTTGCTACAAAACAGGGCAATGAGAATAATTTGTCTTAAGAACAGATTAGTCCGTTCATATCAATTGTTTTATTGCATTATTGCTTTAAAAATATTTGATTTACATAATCTGCGTCTGGGTTTTATTGTGTATCAACTGAATCTGGACGAGTTGCCTCATGCATTAACTTTGTTGTTTTAAAAAAAATAAGAGATTCCACGATTACCCAACGAGACAATCTTCTTATTACCATATTCCAATGTTAAAAACTCTTTGTCTAAAGAAAACTTTAATCGGCTACGCTGGCCCGATCTTTTGGAATTCTCTTGATTAGTTTCACCAAGTCTGTTTGCATTTAAACGTAATCTGAAGTTAAAGCTACTTTTAAAGAATCAATGTAACACTTTGCGGTCTCCTGCACTTTTCCAACAGAATAGTTCGGATAATACTTTAAATTTATGATTATATGTTATGGAAATATTAAGTTTCGTTATTATATGTACATATCTTATGTAAAAAATACATTTTGACATGAAGAAATTATTGTTTGTTTATGTTGTATTATACCTTACATTTATATGTTCTTTGTTATTCAGCTATATTTGATAAGGAAAAAATGTAGAAATCAAATCAAATCAAATATACATTTTGCCTTGGGATTTGGTTTATAGCAACCAATGTCGCGCAATGATTTTAGTGCACGGTAGCTGCAGAATGCAAACTTCAGTGTCCTTTTTTGTGCTTGTCATGATTGTATTGTCTTGTTTTGTTTCGTCCCGTTTTCCCCATCTTTTCCTTGTATTTTCTACTTTATGATACATTGTACCATGATATTTTATGTTAGGGAATCTAAATTACAAGCTATGCTTTCCTAAGTTTCCTCCGCAATATAGCAAGCAAACATCTTCTAAGTCTCTATTCATTGTGTACTTTTACTGCATTGCATGTACCATAATTATGTATATTTCTCGTATGTTAATATTTTAATTGGAATGACTTTGTAAATTGTACTTGCTGTTATTGTGGAAATAAATGAAATGAAAAATGTCGGTCAAGCCACGAGCAAAAATCTTGGACGTCACGAGCAGCATTTGTTAAGGAAATATAAAGTTCAAAGCAATATTTTAGAACTTAAATTTAAGAACATTGGCGTAAGCATATTCATTCTTTTTAAAGGTTACCATATTAGTAGTTTCATTTGTTATCAAAATTATTATTCATAGAATATGTTTATGTGTATACATTATGATATAGTGAATAAAGTTTATCACTGATTTGATAAACAAAGGAAAAAACTTGTACATCTTACAGTAGACCTACATATTATCTGAGCTTTATCATAATTATGGTATTTTGAAAGGGGAAAAGAAAGAGGAAGAGCTCCTACATAATTATGGATGTCAAAAGGAGTGGACCAGAGAGATGAAGAGGGAGACTAGGTTTGGTTCGGTCATTTTGGCAGAAAAGGGTACCCATTATAGGTTTTTTTTCGCCAAATACAGGCTCATTTTTTATATTCTGGTGTTCGCCATGCAAACCCCCCAATTTTTTTTTGGAAAATGGACCCATTTTTGTGAAAAACGACCCATTAGAGCGGCACATCCCCGCATGTCATGATATATTTATGTAAGTACCCCCCCCCCGACTACAGATAAATAGAGAGAGAGAGAGAGAGAGAGAGTGTGGGGAGGGCATAGGCGCCGGAAGTGGAGGGGCAGAGTGCCCCCCTACAACCAACAACAACAAAATGCCCCCCCCCCTTCCAAAAAAAAGAAGAAAAGCAGTAAAGGGGTAAACATGGTTTGTATTTTTAACCCAAAAGAACAAAACAATAATAAAATGTGAGTTAAATCACATATAAAATTCCATTCAAAGAAAAGAAAAATTAACAGGAATCAAATTTCCTAAAAATTCTGCATGCCACCTATATCTATCGATGGAGGTTTTTATAATAGCGATACGCGCATATCGTGGAAATATTGTGGGAGGATGGAAGAGCGTGTGTTTTTTGGTTATAGGGTGGGAAGACATGAGCCCCTGAACGCTGGCGTACTGATGGGGGGGGGGGGGGAGGGAGTATTTCTTATTCGATACCAGTGAATTACAAATGTTGCTGAAATGACATGATTTCCGGTATTTTTTCCTCAATTTTGTTTGTTGGAAAAATTGGAAATTCCAAAATTTGACATTTTCATGTCAGGGCCTGCATAAGTGACCTGCCAATGTCACAAATAAGGTGTCAAAATATGCTCATCTGACCGTAATTAATTGCCTAAAACCCCTGAGCTTACGAGGGCTCCGCCCCCCGGACCCCACCAAGGGCCCTAAGGCGGTCCCCTAGATGCTCATCTGACCGTAATTAAATACCTAAAATCCCCGAGCGTTCGGGGTTCTGCCCCCTGGACTCCACCAAGGGCTTCCAGGGGCACAGCCCCTTGAACTCCCTGCCGGGGCTCAAGCCCTGGACCCCCACCACAACGCTCTACCTGATCGTTAATACTCCACTTTTAAAAAAACGTTCCGCGGGGCCTGCATGTAGCGTGTAAGAGTGGTGGTGATGCAGATTTTTCTTCTGCCCCCCTCTTCCAAACGTTTTTGCTCATTACGCCATTGCCCCTGGTAGTTGAGCCCCCTGGAATGTTTGCCCCCCCCCCCCATCCCAAACTGATTCCGGCGCGCCTAGGGGAGGTACTAATTTATCCACATTTGAAATTCTGGTCAGCCATTCTTTACTTAGGCATGTTCTTATTTCTTTCTAATAATCAAACTACATCATTTCATAGATTTAATTAAAAAAATGAATAAGTCAGTAAATTAATATCTAGATAATACATGACATGTTGACTGTGGGTTTCTGTCACAGTGGTAGGCCTATACAGAGATTGATTTCTTCTCTTCTCAATGCGTACCCACGATACTGTCAATCCCCAATACACCAATACAGACTGTTGTCAATTACTGTTTGCTCGTGACGTGTTTCTAGGATGCACCAATGCACGTAGCATATTCTCCGAGAAGAGAGTACAATCTACTATGATGTCACAATACTAGTCGAGAACAAGCTGGGTTTTTCCAACTTCCCTTCTATGACCTCGCAGTCCTTGTTGTTTATTATGTATCTAGTCAGGCGCATACGCAGGATTTTTTCAAGGGGGGTGGGGGGGGGGGGTTTAATCTTTTTGTTTTCTTCAATCAGGCCGAAAATTTCGCATCGACTCAGCCAGCCGCTGAATAAGCAGGGGGGGGGGGGGTATGAGGACACTTTCTTTTTTTTTGGTCTCGAAATTTGAAAATTTGACATTTTGCTCCGTTGGGGGGGGGGTAAGGTCACCTTTTTTAGGTCAGCCATGGGAATATAAAAAAAAACCAAAGGGGGGGTTTGGGTTTTTTTTAGGGGTGTTTATACACATAAAAATACCAAAGAGGGGGTTTAACCCCCAAACACCCCCCCCCCCCCTGCGTACGCGCCTGTATCTAGTATTATTGTGTTCACTCTCGAAGCTTCTCTGACTAGAAGCTGCTTTAGACGCGGTGTTCGTTGACATTTTATAAAACTCTAATTGGAATATCGACTTCTCATACAGTTCACACGGCTCTCTGAAAGAAAAGGAGGCTTATAATTTCAACTGCAAAATTCTTCTACGAGATTGTTCTACTTCTACAGTTGTTCATTGAGACCAGAATTCGGCTGATATACAGTTACGCAGATATTTGCAGACGGTTTAATCAGTGAGAACTTTACATTTTGAAACGTTTTTTTCATCAAAAACTTCGACAAGAACAATAACATGGCACCAGGAAAAGCACCAGCGATTGGAATCGATTTGGGTACCACCTATTCTTGTGTTGGGGTCTTTCAGAATGGGAAGGTGGAGATCATTGCTAACGATCAAGGAAACCGGACCACACCCAGTTGTGTTGCCTTCACAGATACAGAAAGATTGATCGGTGAAGCCGCAATCAATCAGGTGGCAACGTAAGTATTTTATAACATTTCATATTCCCCACTCCTGATGACGGTTAGTCAATCTGTTCGATATGTCGAACCCCTCCTAATGCCCATCCTCTCCAACCGGCGCTATACATCTTTAGATCTATAAGCTCAAGAAAGGTTACCAAAAGTCCTTTTCAGTACTACACACACCGTACCTTCAAGATAGAAAGATTACCGATAATCCTTTTCAGGACTCCCCTATCCTTTCCTTCTCTCACACGGAGCGACCGTAAGCATGTCAACATCACCATGCAAGCCGACAATTGTAAGCAGCATCTAACATTTTCTATGTTTAAACAATCGTTTATCTAAAACTATAACTGAACAAAATATAATTTCATTGACGGGTGGACGACATCATTTTATTAAGAAGAATCTCACGACTCACGAGGTGTTGATCTACAAAAAAGGGTGGTAATGCAGTTGTTAATTTGAAAGTGTCCAGTGGAGTGTATAACAGGGAATAGGAGCACAAATCTGTTAGATTTTCGTCATTTTGCATTTTAATATTTAAATCTCATTTGTTTAGTTTGATTCTCTTCAGACCTGCATGTCGCCTCTGATATTCACGTTCGTTGAATTAGAAAATAAATCAAGTATCTTTGTACAGTGTTTGAATATATATTCTTTCCGGTTGCATATTTCCATGACTGAAATTGTGAATAAGATACTGTCTCATGCACCAACATTTCATGACTGGTTCTAAATTCTGTGCATTTCATATAATTTTTTTCAAGGGGGGGGGGGGGCTTTAACATTTTGAAATCGGGCCGAAAATTTCGCAACGACTCAGCCATCCGCTAAATAAGCGGGGGGAAGGGATGAAGGGGGGAAGGGGGGAAGGGGGGGGGGGGGGGGGGGGGGTAAGAGGACATTTTTTTTTTTGGGGTTCCAAAAAATCGCAACGACTCAGCCGGCCGCTGAATAAGCCGGGGGGGGGGGGGTGGGGGTGTTAAGAGGACACTTTTTTTTATTGTTCTCGAAATTTGAACATTTGACATTTTGCTCCGTAGGGGGGGGGGGGGTCACTTTTTTTTGGTCAGCCATTGGTATAATCGGGTGTTTTTGCTCAAAAATACACACATAAAAAACTAAAGGGGGGTTAACCCCCAACCCACTCACCCCCCCCCCCCCCCCCCACTGCGTACGCACCTGTGTGTAATTAGGCTATGTATCAATTTACATGAGACAATAAACCTTATTTATTATCATTACAGGAATCCCAAGAACACAATCTTTGGTGCCAAACGTCTTATTGGGAGGAGATTCACAGATGAAAACGTGCAATCAGACATGAAGCACTGGCCTTTCACCGTCATCAATAAAGGAGGCAAGCCAATGCTACAGGCAGAGTACATGGGAGAGAAAAAGACATTGACACCAGAAGAAATCAGCTCCATGGTCTTGACCAAGATGAAGGAGACAGCTGAGGCTTATCTTGGCCAGCAGATCACTAATGCCGTCGTCACTGTTCCCGCTTACTTCAACGATGAACAGCGACAGGCGACGAAGGACGCAGGTGTGATCGCAGGGCTCAACGTCCTCAGAATCATCAACGAGCCCACCGCTGCCGCCCTAGCCTACGGACTCGATAAGAAGCTGAAGGGGGAGCAACGTGTCCTCATCTTTGATCTCGGTGGTGGTACGTTCGATGTCTCGATCTTGGTCATCGATGATGGTATCTTCGAAGTAATTTCGACAGCCGGTGACACTCATCTCGGAGGAGAAGACTTCGATGACAGACTAGTCCATTATCTTGCCGAGGAGTTCAAGCGAAAGCATAAGAAAGACATGACGTCTAACCCAAGATCGCTCCGTCGCCTCCGAACAGCAGCGGAGCGAGCAAAGAGAACACTGTCAAGCAGTGCTTCAACAAACATCCAAGTTGAATCACTCTACGAAGGTATCGACTTCTCCACTAGTATCAGCAGAGCACGATTTGAAGAGCTGTGTTCAGATCTCTTCGCAAAGTGTCTGCAGCCAGTAAAAAGGGCCATCATTGATGCTAAGATCGACAAGAACAGGATTGACACCGTGGTACTTGTCGGTGGATCAACACGAATCCCGAAGGTCCAGAAGCTTCTCCAGGAATACCTCGACGGCAAGGATCTGAACAAGTCTATCAATCCTGATGAAGCTGTTGCCTATGGTGCTGCTGTCCAAGCTGCCATCCTATCTAATGACCCAAGCGAAGAAATCAAAGACGTTATTCTAGTCGATGTGGCTCCTCTCTCTCTTGGCGTTCAAACAAAAGGAGGTGTGATGTCAAAGCTCATTGAGAGGAACACAACAATCCCTACAAAGGCAACCGAAAACTTCGTTACTGTTGCTGACAACCAGTCTGCCATTACCGTCAAAGTGTTTGAAGGAGAAAGAGCTCTGACTAAAGAAAACAATCGACTTGGCCAGTTTCGGCTTTCCGGTATCCCTCCTGCACCTCGGGGCGTCCCTAAGATCAAAGTCACTTTCGACATCGACGCCAACGGCATCATGGACGTCACTGCCGAAGACAAGAGCACGGGTCGTAGCAAAAAGATCACCATCACCAACGACAGCGGAAGGATATCTAAAGACGAAATCGAGCGTATGATCAACGATGCCGAGAGATTCAAGGCCGAAGATGATGCTCACCGGGAACGCATCGCAGCCGGCAACCAACTCGAGTGCTATGCCTACAACGTCAAGTCCGCAATCAATGACGCATCGGTAGAGAGCAAGCTTAGCTCCAGCGACAAGGAAGTTGTGACAAACGCAGTTGATGACGTCATTACTTGGATGGATAGCAACCCTTTGGCAAAGAAGGAAGAATTCTCGTTCAAGTTGAAAGAGTTGCAGAAGACATGCTCTCCCATCATGGCTAAAATACACGCAGGTATTTACTCAGGTCATCCCGGACAATAAGCCAACTCATCGTAATCAGGCAGTGGTTGGCCTACTATTGATGAGATGGTTTTGCAATAGACTTTCTTTTACATGTCGGGCCAAGTGTAATTTTAACCTTAAAATTATGGGATATTAGCATGGGGCAACTCCTCCAAAAATCAACTGGATTATTTATTGTTGCTTCAAAACAGGGCAATGATAATCATTTGTCATAAGAACAGGTTAGCCCTTTCAGATCAATTGTTTTATTCCATTATTGTTCAAAAAATATTTGATTTATATAATCTGCGTCTGGGTTGTATTGTGTATCAACTGAAACTGAACAAGTTGCCTCATGCATTAACTTTGTTGTTTTTAAAAAATATGATAGATTCCACGATTACCCAACGAGACAATCTTCTTATTACCATATTCCAATGTTAAGAACTCTTTGTAAACAGAAAACCTTAATTTACGCTGGCCCGATCTTTTGGAATTCTCTCGATTAGTCTCACCAAGTATGTTGCATTTAAACGTAATCTGAAGTTAAAGCTAGTTTTAAAGAATGTATGTAACATTATGCTCATTTGCTTCAAATGTAAGCCACTATTCATGTTTACAGTACATATTTTACGTTGGAA